TTTTTTTTAACCAAGGATGAAGCTTTTCTGAAGGCTTTTTAGAACCTGTCGAGGCTTTGGAGGCAGAGTGGAGCCCGTTGTTCAGATTTCCACATAGTTCTTTTCTGTTTTTCTTTGTTTCTTGGCTTGTAATCTTAGTATAAGAAGTTGTCTTGTGGGGTTCGGAGTTCTTTTGTTTTGTGAGCTCATGAACCACACGATTAAAATGAATTTCGAATTTGGTGAATGAAGTTGGAAATAAAGATGTTCTGCTGCATTTTGGTTCTCTGTATTTTGTTGAAATAGTTACAGAATTAGACATATAGTCTGCGCAAAGCTTAACTTAGTTTGATTCACAACTCTCTGAGTTATGGGAGTAAACAATGGTCAGACTAAATCGAACACCACTCCTTTCTTGTTTTCAGATTCCCAGCTGCATTTTGCGGTGTAATTTAAAAACAGCACATGCAGGTGATGATAACAAGTAATCGAAATGAGTTCAACGAATAGATAAATTTAGTCGGATATTCGGTACTTGCGTTACTGCTCTTTTCGCATAGTCGTGCCATTCTTAAACGAGTCGTGAAAGCAAAAGTGTTATTGGCAGAACAATTTTCTATGTTCTTGGTTTTGGTTGATCTCCAATCTTTTGTTGTTATCTCCCTATAAAACACCTTCAGGTATATCTGAAAAGTCCTTTTTTTTTCAAGCAACACCTTAGAAGTTATAATTAGGAAAAGGCAAAAGAGAGGAACTTATCCCACATTTAATTTTTATAAAACTTCAGACAAGTTTATAAGTGCAGGAAAAGCAGCAAAGTTCGCCGAGCTCAGTAATGTGAGCTTGTAACCCAAATGGGGGCAACAAGGTGATTGGACACTGGGCCTGCCCAGTTAGCTGGGCCATTCGGTTGCGATATCTGGCCCGCCCGTTCCAAGTGGGGAGTTGGGCCGTGCGATCTAGGCGAAGGCTCTGGTCTCTCGGCCCGTAGAGCGGAGGGCACTGCGTCAGGCTGGCCTCACAGAGCAGCGAGAACCTCCCGCTCTCTACAGTGGAAGGATAACGGGCCGGTGCTTCCTTGGCCCAAATAAAGCTGAATGGGCAGGTCCAAATTGAACAATCACTTTTTGAAAATCTTTTTTATTTTTTTTAACATTTAACTTTCAAGTCCTTTTTATTGCAAAAAATTAGTAACGATTTTTATTTCTATTAACTTATTAGCCGAGAATATACCATTTTTTATTATGTTAATTATTTTTTCAGTCATGTATTTAGTTAACTTTTCAATTATGTCTACCAAACAAACCCTGAAGTCACCATAATAAAGGAAGAAAATTCATAAGAATATTTTAGGCTTTAATTTATCAGCTGTGTATATTTTATAATATTTGGAATGAAAATCACAAGTCCTGCTCAAATATTCTAATGCAGCTATATTTTACAATAACCAAATGGGGCAGTGCCTCAAACTACCAAAAATAATGAATGACTATCAAATCTAATTCATTATATACTGCACACAGCTCCATTCTTTTGTTTTTTGTTTATCTCTTCTTCTGGTTGTATTGATGAGAAGACTATAAATTGAGAGCTAATAACAAACTGTGGCTTAAGCCAAAGCAAGCTCTTCCTCCCCCATCGACTGCTGTTCTTGTTCGAAAGATAATCGTCCCTCGCTACAAGGAACAAGTAGGCGTCTAATTTCTTCTGCACTTAGAGTTTCATACTCCAAAAGCGCGTTTGCTAGAGTGTGTAACGCCTTCTCATGCTGCAAACAAAACAAAAACGAATAAATCGCAAGCTTTCGTAATTTTATATGTATTTTCAATGGAATACTTCAAATTGTAAAAAAAAAAAAAAAAAAAAAAAAAAAAAAAAAAAAAAAATGCACCTTTTTCAATAGAGCTTTTACTCGATTATAAGCTTCCCTCAACAGCTTAACCACCTGAAAGAAATCGAGCAAAACAAAGTACATATCATTAATTATTTACAATTGTTTCAAGTCCTTGAAGAAGATCAGAAGAAACATACTTCGGCATCAACACGAGACTGCATTTCCGAACTAGGTCGTTCTTTGAGATGAACGGGTCCAATTGAATCACTCATCCCACAACTCGATACCTTAAAAATAAAAGATATTCGCCAAATTTACAAAAACCTCATAAATAAAAAAAAAAACCTCTCCAATAGCAATATTCGTAATAACACACCCTTCTCATTGTAATATAAAATTATCGAATTATCGGGAAAATTGTACCATATAATGGGCGAGCTCGGTAGCCGTGTTGAGATCACTACTTGCACCAGTCGTAACATTGTCCTGTCCAAAGATAAGTTCCTCCGCTACTCGCCCCCCCATGCAAACATCAAGCCGAGCCAATAACTGTTTTTTGCTAACCGAAGTTTCATCATTAGAAGGAAGCTGAGTCACCATCCCGAGTGCGGACCCGCGTGGCATGATCGTGGCCTTGTGAATCGGGTGCGCACCTTCGGTGTTCAAGGCGACTATAGCGTGTCCACTCTCGTGGTAAGCGGTGAGCTTTTATCAGGGCGAGAAAAAAAAAATTACTATATCATTTACTTCAAATTTTCTATATATAAATATAAATATTTATATTTGTGCTCGCCTTTTTTGATTCCTCTGAGAGAAACATGGTCTTCCTTTCTGTTCCCATCATTATCCTATCTTTCGCGAACTCTAACTGAGCTGCGGTTAATTTCTCAGCACCTTCAACTGCGGCTTTAATAGCGGCAATGTTTACCAAATTTGCGAGATCTGTTTCAAAAAAAAAAAAAAAAAAAAAAAAAAAAAAAAAGGAATTAGAGAACCAATAGTACAGTATGCATTTGGTTTGTCTTTGACAATTAGTAAAGAAAAGTATGGCATCAAGTCAACTAAGAGAACTAAAATTGTTTCCTTTTTCTTTCCCGAGTAAATAGTAAAGCTGCTGGATATTGATCAGCAGATGAATGAGAAGCCAACTAAAAGTTTAAGATTTGTGGTAGTCATCAATAAAACTAAGAGGTAATTTATGGTTGAAGCATTAGAGAGAGAGAGAGAGAGAGAGAGAGAGAGAGAGAGAGAGAGAGAGATTGCCTGCTCCATTGAATCCAGGAGTTCCACGTGCAATTTTGTTCACATCAACATCCTCTGCCAAAGGTTTGTCTTCTAAATAGAGATCCAATATCTCTTGACGACCCCGAACATCGGGATTAGGAACTACAATCTAGAAATAGTGTTTCTTAGGCAATTTTAATTTTTTTTTTTTCCGAATAGGAAAAATGTTGGCTAGTCTTTTTGAGTGATAGCTTCTTTATTGAATTACGAATGTAAAACGTACAATGAAAGTCACTATCGAATTCAATATTTTTATGTACGAGAATTGTCGAACGGTGATGTTTCTGCTAGGAAATATATAAAAAGTTTAAAACTTACATGGCGGTCAAATCTACCGGGTCTCGTCAAAGCTGGATCGAGTATATCAGGCAAGTTTGTCGCGGCCATCACAATAATACCCTGTAGGAAAGAGTCGAACTTAATTCAAAGTGAGATATGAAGAGCCACATTTTTTTTCCTTTTTTTTTCAAAAATTTAATGTGCAGTATTAACCTCATTCTGCTCGAAACCATCCATTTCGACAAGCAGCTGATGCAGTGTTTTCTTTGTATGGCCTTCCCACTGCTTCCGAGTAGATCCAACGGCATCAATTTCATCAATGAAAATGATGCATGGAGCCTGCAGCAAATGCGTGTCTAAAATCATAACAAAAAACTAAAAGGGATACAAGAGTGTGTATAAATAAATCAAATATGACCACTCAAACATTTAAAGTGTGATGGACCGAAACAGGGTTTAACCTTCTTTTTAGCTGCCTGAAACAAGGATCTTACTCGTCGAGCACCCACACCTACAAACCTAACATAAAAAAAGAGGATAATTTTAGATATATGATTTTTCCAATAAACTCATAAAGATCGTTGCAAACCTCTTAAAAAATTATGAACATCCTCACGTAAGGTTACAGCTTTAACCGAAAATAAGAAACAAAAGAAAACAGTTTACATTTCCTCAAACTCGGATCCTGCTCTGTAAAAGAAAGGCACGCCAGCCTCTCCAGCAATAGCCTTCAAAATTGAAGCAACAATATAATCAGATTTTAATCTCTATTATCTTGACAATGAACTTCTATAATAGCCCAATTTAGTTACAGACTTACAGCACAACAACATATATATACCTTTGCAAGCAAAGTTTTTCCTGTCCCAGGTGATCCAGTAAGAAGGATTCCCTGAAAATTTAAAAGCATATTAAAATAGCATAAAGTGCGAAAACCATTCACAAAGGACACCATTGTAACATAAAATAATAAACGAAACAAACCTTTGGTAACTTCCCTCCAAGTCGCGTGAATTTGGAAGGGTTCTTGAGGTACTCTACAACCTCCTCGAGCTCTTGTTTAGCATCATCACATCCTTTGACGTCTTTAAATGTCTTAACATTCTGCAGTGTCGATTTTTATGCAGCTAAGTAATAAAAAGAGAGAGAAGAAAAACTCTTATCGTGCAAGGCAATAAAAAGCACTATCAAAAGTTCAAAAACTAAATTACAAAATAGAATCTCAAGGGAGTGATATCCAGGATAAACGTCTTAGAATTATATAATGTGCTAAAATGAAAATCTCAAGCCAAGCCAAAAGATTACCTTTTCTGGCAATATTTCTTTGTTCAGTTCGTTTGGGGTGTACGAAGAACTCGAACCAACTCCAGGAGTCCCTATTCCACCTAAGCTACCAACATACTTCTGAAGTGCAGCAGCACCCATTACCCTGAGAAATTAAAAGGTCGATTACCACATAAAATAATTTGTGAGCATGCACGAGAAATGGATTATAAAAACATAAGTATATACGCATTTAAACCATAAATCGGTCCCTTCTAATTACGCAGGTGAACTACAAAGAAGCAATGGCCATCAATACCAAACAAAAAAAAAAAAGGGAAA